AGGCGATGCATCCAATCGGCTGAGATATGAGTGTAGTTGGCCTCACGTGCCCAACATGTGCCAGTCACACGGAATGTGGCATGATATGTTAGCTGGGAGATGGTGTGCTTGAGTTTTTTGATTACTTGGGACGTGCCAAGGGACATTCAACTCTTCAACCATGGCAAGAGTAGTTCACGAGAGAAAGTACCATTCTTAGAGCTTGAAATCCATGGAGTTCCTCCTAGAAAGACCCGCCCCCGAAGCGTCCTCGCGGCCTTCTGACCTAGATGTTGAGGTGGTGGACGCGCCCACGAGGCCGGTGTGCGGCATCCTTGGCGGAGCGAAGGTCGCAGACAAGATCCAGCTGATCATGAACCTCTTGGACAAGGTTGATATCATGATTATCGGAGGAGGCATGGCTTTCACCTTCATCAAGGAGGCCGGTGTGGACATTGGCAACTCCCTCTACGACGAGGAGGGTGCCAAGCTGGTGCCGGAGATCAAGAAGAAGGCTGAGGAGAAGGGTGTGGAGCTGATCCTGCCCGTGGACTTCGTGTGCTCCTCCAAGTTCGGAGATGATGGCGAGATCCAGGAGGGCGACATGAGCACGGGTGTTCCCGAGGGCTTCTTGGGTCTCGACATTGGCCCAAAGTCCATCGCCATGAACGACGAGGCCAGTGTTGGGTTGGCTTGCAGCTCCAGGTTAGGAGGTTTGCCAGCACTGTGCTACCACGACCCTGAATCGGATAATGTGGCAGGCCATCAAGAAGTCCAAGACGATCGTTTGGAACGGTCCTATGGGCGTGTTCGAGATGGAGGCCTCGACATGATGAGAAGAGCACGATGTAGCTTTCGGACTTCCCAAGATGTTTTTTTGTGTTCTTCCTCGCATGATTGCGTCTGAGTCTGAAACATGTCTGTGCCCACAGCTTCTTGTGACAGGCCTTTGAGAAGGGGACGAAGCAGATGATGGAGACCATCGTGGCAGTCACCAAGGAGGGTGCCGTCTCAGTCATCGGTGGAGGCGACACTGCCACTGCTTGCAAGAAGTACGACACCGTGGACAAGGTCTCCCACTGCAGCACCGGCGGTGGTGCATCTCTCGAGCTTCTGGAGGGCAAGCTCCTGCCCGGCGTGGCCGCTCTGGACGACTCCAAGGCCATGGCAGATGCCTAGAAACAAGTTTTGTCTTACCGGACTTACCGGTGTAACTTTTTCCGAGCCTCAGCCCGTGTTCAGGCGACTTCTGCAACTTTTAGATAGCGCAGGGGTTGCTTTCCGCAGATGCGGAGTGCACATGGCATTTCGACAGTCATGTCCATTGAGCAGTTCGAAAAAGGCGGCCAGCCTGAAAGGCTTTTGCACAAGGATGTTTCCGAGCCTCAAGATGTTCCTCGTTCGCATGGCAAGCTTGTTGCACTGTTGCAGTGTGCAAGGCAAAGACAGGTCGCACCGCACCTTGTTAAGCCCTGAACGCTTATAATGCACGCCGCAGAAGGCGCCCAGCTGAAGCTGGCTGGCCTGCTCTGTATTTCTATATATATATATATATATATATGTATAATGATATGTGTACATATGTATACGTTTCGTTTTGGGCACCTGGGAAACTCTTATGCTGGTTGAAGCAAACGTGTTCGTTCATTTTCATTCATGTTTCTCATGATTGCGTTTATCCATCCCTCTCGCCCTGCAGCTCTTACATAGCCCCGAAAACCGGAGGAGCAAACCGTGAACCTCAAAATCAGACATGAGCAATGCTTGGTAAGCCTTTGGCAAGGGCCTGGCCAAGCGACATCACTCCGTGGCATCAGCGGCCTTGGCGAAGTGCTCGAGGCCTCTTGGACCGAGCGGGGCTCATGCAGAGAAGCCTTGGCACCTCTGGGATCTTCTTCATTTCAGCTTGCCTGAAGTATGTTTACATACAAGATCTCGATCGCTTCTTCAAGATGCCGAAGGGTTTTCCTGTCTGAGTCTCAGTTTCCAATTTCTTGGAGGGCTTGCGGGCAAGCCATGTTCTCACTGCTGAGCCAAGAATGTCCGAACTGAGTAGTTGCGAGTCGTCCCCGTGACACCACCACAAGGGCGAACTTGGTCGACTCCTTCGCGGCCTGGAAGGAGACGATCCGGTCGGAGATGCCATTCGGCAGATGGGAAGAAGGGGTTGCGTATATGTACATTTGCGATTTTGAGGTTCTGCGACGTGAAGCATGTTGTGTTTTGAAACATCTACTGAGTCGTCTACTGTATATTTTTGCGTTTACACGAATTCGTGTTTTCTACGACTATCTCGGTGGGGCACTTTGAAGTTGTGTAGTTGGGTTCACCCAACCATACATGTTGGACTGCATTACTCAAGCAACATGTGAGCTCGGAGACCCGTCTAGCATATACACTCAGAAAATCAAATCTTGGCAGCACGCGCCTCGCTCGATCCCGCGCCATGTCCTTGCGCCCATGCAGCAATCACCCCCGCTTTTGAAGGCCCTGGGTCCTCGGTCCTTTAAGGCAATGCCCCGAATCCCCTCATGACTTCTTGCGCGTCGCTGCTGCTAAGTCTCCACTTCCAAGTCGCTCCGATCAAGGCTGGTGCACCTGAAGCACGAGCTGCTCCGAACGAAAAACTCGCTGAAGCTGCAAGGGGCCAAGAGCCGGATCAGCCTCACCGGGCCGAACGATCGGTTTCGGGTTTAAATGCAAGTATGCGTTGCGTATGTGTAGTTCCAAGGCTTTAATGATTCTGACTAGCCGAAGGCACATTTCACGCTTCCCGGGTTCAAGGTGTTACTTCTTCGCAGCAGCACTTCCGTTCCAGGAGAGGGACCTCTCGGGTAATGCGGGATTCCTTCCTAGGGCCGCAACTGTGAAGCTGCAAATTTCCAGGGGTCCACTCAACTTTCCTGTAGAGCTTTTGGATGTCGATGGGCATCCCCACCGATTTCACAAGCACTTGTCAGCCCTTGCATACGAGCTGAACCAAATCCCTTAGCTTAGCTTAGAAACAGGGTGCACCCACCCACGCACGCACGCATCCGCACCCCCGCCCGCCCGCCCACGAACGCCCGCACCCGCACACCCACCCACCCACGCGCGCACCCGCGCACACACCCACACGTGCACACACGCACCCACCTACAAACACAGGATCACACCACCCATACATGTACTGATCAAGTACAACCTCGTAGACACCAGACTTCCCTTCCAATTTCCGCATTGCACCTTCTTGCCAACTTTCGGCTGCTGTACCTAGTTCTGTTGAATCTTTGCCACGTGGAGAAGTACCGAGAGGCCCCAAACTAGCCTTCGCCCGCCACTCGACTCACCAATCGGGGAGTTTGCAAAAACCCTCCGCGACCTGCTCGCAGTCTGGGCCCGAGGGTCCCAAATAGCGCGAGCTGGTGTTTTAGATTGCTCAGGGCTGTGCAGCCTGTGTGGAAACGGATGTGTACCAAACGGATCGACGGGGCCCCGTCCGAAGCTCGCAAAGGACCCGCGATAGCTTCAACTACACAGCAATACGGTATAAACCGATCCAGGTTCGAGAAGGAACTCGAGGAAGCCAAGCAACGCTGTAGCCTCGGAAGGGCAACACAAGCCTCGATAGTTGTTGATACATGCGCGTGAGTATTCAGCCTCTACACGAGGATCCAGCATGCAGGTGTCTCGCAGAGCAGCATGTGTGTCTGCGCAGAAACTGTATAATACTGTAAATTTGCGGGTAAATAAATCAGTATACACCAATGCATGCACATACGTATGTACATGTACACGCAATTCAAAGTCAGACAGTACTTCTGTCGAATTTAAAGTCATACATTTGAGGTTTTGCGTGACTCCACGGCATCAGCGGACATGTTGTTGGTGCTTTACAACTGTGATACGGAACCTGCAGCCATATTGCTCCGGCCATTGCAGTTCTTGTGTGTTCAGTGCTGTTGTCTTCTTCGACCACAGCTTATGTTGAAGGTTTCCCAGTCTGTGAAGCTGCACAGTCGGATCCTTCCTCATGTACGCATGCGCATGCAGATACTAAATATGCGAATGTGCAAACTAGATCTTCGTCGCCTTGGGGTGTGGCGCTTCCAGACCCGACCCGATTTCAGAGGCTTTAGCTTAAGAACTTTCGGACGCCCCGGATTTGACTCGCTGAACCTCGTCATCCAGACTGCAAGCTCGATGTACCTCCTGATAGAAGGCCAACAGATAAATCCAACTCCCGAGCGTTTGTGGAGAGGTCGTCGCGAGGAGCTCGTCTCTCGCTTCATGTCCACTTCGACGTCGATAAAATCCAACTTCTTGAAGGCCCGGCTTCAGTCTTTGAGCATACGAGGCGACCTACGGAGAAGCTGCAGAGCAAGAAGTTAACTTTGTGTTTTCTCTTTTGGCTGAAGATCCAGATAATTAATTTCCTTGAGTGGGGGGAAGGTTTGGAAGGAGCGACAGCGACGGAGATGCTGAGAGGCCCAAGGGCCGGTGGCTCTGAGCCTTGGGGTCCGAGACCCAACGAAGAGCCTCCGAGCTCCCAACTGGATCGAAGGACGCGGCGACTTGAACCCCGCACATCCCACGCTTCCAGTTCTCTTCGACAACCTGCTTTATGCAGCTCCGTCCTCTCCAGGCATGGCGACTGCAGGTCGAGGAGCGGACACGCCGCAAGCTGAGCCGCGAGCGAATCGAGTTTGTCTCTCGGTTCAGAGGGTGCGCGATTTCGAGCTCTGTCTGAAGTAGGCATGGGATGGGTATGTCAAATTTAGGCCTTAGGCTTGTGGGGTTTGAGGGTTCCAAGGCTTCAGTGCGCAGCGCCGGGGAACTTTTGCATCTGCCAAATCAATCAGTGGTATCTTCCCAACAAGCGTGGTTTCTAGCAATATGCAGCATGAACAGCAGAACACCTTCGTAAGACACGGCCTCAAGCGTAATGAAGCGGCCGCAAGCAGTGCTGGCTATGAGAGAGTATTGTTTTTGGCAAAGAGCCATGCCAGTTTGATGGCAAAAGCAAGAAAGGTGACCATGGTTTTCCAAGTATGAGTCAGCATGAGCCTAGCATCGTGCTTTCACCGGCGACTGAGGCAAAGCCCAACGATCCGTCGGGATCTTTGACAGAATGCATATCTTTGTGGGCACACCTCGAAACCGCTGTGGGGCGGTTGCCTCAAAGCTGCCTAGGCCTAGAGAACAAAGTAACCAGATTCTGGGAGACGAATCCGTCCAGCACGGTCTGCCGCGAGGCTTCTAGTCAGACATGCGACCTCTACAGGGTTTGGGGCTTCTGGGCTTAGCTTACATGAAGCACGTTGAACAGCTGAGCAGCTTGCCCCCCGCTGTCGAAGTCAACACAGTAGCCTCGGCCTAAGCTCGGACGCGGCCAGGGTTGGGCTTCAGGCTCAAAGCTTCGGCTCGGGTTTTGTGTGATTTTTACAGCTGTAGATACTTGTGATGTGTCAGTTTCACGGCTCATGCTGGAGCCATGGACAGCATTCCGGAGTCCTGTAGCTTTCTCAGATTGACGAGCAATGACGGGCAGGAAGTTCACGTTGGCTTACTGCAGATATCTTCTGGGACCAGAGAAGAGATTTGTGCCGGAGCCATTGGAAGCACTTTCAGGATATCGCATGCCAGAGTCCCTCATAAAGGATGCCCATCACCGATGTTCAGAGCGTATACGGCCCTGGGTCAGCAGCACGTTGCTGCTGACATTGCTGAACTTGCATATTTTGGTGACGTCTAGTAGTTCGCATGACCCTAGATGGTCCGATATTGGGTAGCGAGCCCAAAATCGCAATTCGAACATCCTGTGAGCCCACCGTGCAACATCATTTGTGACTGAGGCCGTGGCCTTGAGGATTGCGACGCGTGGGGATGCAAGTCTCCAGGCATCTGGTTTTCGGCCAAGTGCGTGGATGCGGTCGCATGCAAGTGTGGGCAGCTTGTTCGGGGCTGCGGATTCTTGTGAGCTTCGGTGGTTTGTGTTTGTCATTTGAACTGAAACTCAGTCCATCAAGCCCCGAGATTTACTTCGAGCTTCATGGTCGTGGCGTAAGTAGGGTGTGTGTAATGTCGTCTCTCGGTATATAGAAACCCGAATCAGTTGCCCGCTGCCCGAGCAACTGGTCACAGTCCTGTAAGGAAGTCTTCAGATACTGATGCTTAGTAGCTTCAGATTGGAAGAAGCA